AAATTATCGTAGACGCATATCGCATTCATCGCATCGCAAGGCGACATACGTCTACGGCAATTCTTTGTGCGTTGACTTCAGACACCGACTTGCGTCTTACTACGGAATCGGAAACACTTACGACAATCTTTCTGCTCAGGTCCTACGCTTTACAGACTGTTGCCAAAGCAAAAGCCAAATGCGGACACAGATGGCTATGGTTTTGGTGTGAGTTTCTGATGAATCTGCTGCCAATCTGCTAACATTTTGCTGACTGGGCACTTAGCCGTATAGACGGAGTTTCGTGGGAAATAGAGGTGGCTTAATGATCTATAAAAGCTATACAAGAGTCATCGTGGAACAAAATATTACTTCCCAGAGGTGGAACTAACGGAAAATATATGCTCCGATTTCAGGAAATCCGCAAGGAATACCGCTCTGGAATACCGTAACTTAATAATGTTACGGTGGCAGAGGCAAAGATTATAAAGGACAGAACTAGTTAGGAATATATTGAATAATATATTTACCGAGGGGAAAACCGCTGACCAAAATCTTGTACGCCAATGCCCACTAATGTGCAGTGGGCATTACTTTATTTTATTATCTTATTTTATCTTTAGAATGCTCAGCAAGGCCTAATGCCCAAAAAATGCCTAGTAATGCCGAGTAATGCCACAAATATGTACACCACAATGCCCTCAGCGATTTCTCCCTCGATATTTAATAATAACCTATGGAGAGGAAGAGATAAATAAAAAATAAGAAATTGGAGAACCAAAGCAAGTTTAAATATCTTAGAGGAATTCACAAGGAGGAAAACTATGAAGTATATCAAAATAATTATTAGACAATGATGAATCAGGTAAATATTAACCTAGAAGTAAGGAAAAGAAGATAAGATTATGGTAGATTCCGAAGTACCAATGAACGTGGATTCTAATAAAAACATCATATCTTACTTATCAAAGATTAAAAACGAATATTTAACGGAGGAGTTGGCTAAAAATCGAAAATAAATAATCGGTGTCGTTACTAGGCAGTATCACGAGACACGGTAGTGTCTCGCGCCAAGTGTAAGCGTAGCTAGATACAATGCACGCTACGACACATTGGTATTCAGCGGAATAAGATGAAACGAAAGAGTTCAAATTTAAGAAACCTATGACTGGCTATAAGGAAGATATGTATGCATAGACTAAAGGTTGAAGAGAGAAAAAGCTACTTTAGAAATCTATATAAAAGAAATGAAAAAAGAAATTGGTTTAACAATGAGGAAAAAGATTAAATTAAAATGATAAATAGGATAAGAGAAAGCTATTACAATTTAAAGAAATCTTCAGTTAGAGATAGAATATAGTTCAAGATATAACAGTGTAGGAAAATTGATAACCGACACAACTGGCAATTTTAATTAGAGAAAATCTATTGCGAAAAAATATCACCTCAGCACTTCAAGATTTCAGATGTAACAGCCGAATTTTAGAATTTAAACCACATACACCGAGGGGGGGAAATCGCCGAGGGCATTGTGGTGTACAGATTTGCGGCATTACTGGGCATTACTAGGCATTTTTGGGGCATTCGGCCTTGCTGGGGCATTCGGCCTTGCTGGGGCATTCGGCCTTGCTAGGGCATTCGGCCTTGCTAGGGCATTATAAAGATAAAATAAGATAAGAAGATAAGGTAATGCCCACTGGGCATTAGTGGGCATTGGTGTACAAGATTTTGGTCAGCGGTTTCCCCCTCGACAACCTTCGGTGTATGAATTGTAGTGAGGAAAGGGGAAAATTACATTTGAAACTGGCCTGTCTGAGAGTAAAATGCTCCTACACAGTTTATTCCTACAGTCTCTAATTGGTTAGAATGTAAGTATACGGCCTTTATATAAATTTCTGAAACAAATAGAAAAGAATATTTGAATAATAAGATGTAAAAACTTTGAAGTGACAGTTTTAGAGAAAGCCACTACTTAAATAAATAAAAGAGCCTACTACATTCGCGTCAGACTTCACATAGAATTGAATCCTGTCTGCTATTTTAAATGCCGCGTATCATGTATGTATGTATGTATGTATGTAAGATTCGAATTATTTAATGGTTATGTTATTAATTTCACTGCACGTATAATTATAAATAGAATAGTTATAAGTACAAGTTTATTTTGATTTCTAATATAAATTGTAGATTAAAGCGCACCTGAGCAAGAAACCATAAGCAAGAAACAGATATACTCGAGAGCTCTTATACTTTTCTACACGTTCGAAATAAAAGCAGTTAAGAGCAGCGATATTATTCTCCTTTTCTGCTCCTTTTACGACAAATAATTGCGTATCCGATCCTATCGCGGGATAAGGAAAGAATATATCCATGCCTTTTTCCTCGTCAATAGCCGTTATGTTAAATTGTCAAGTCAGAAATTCGTGCTTCTCGGTTTCACGCATGACGGCACATACTAGACAAGATGAAGAGTAACAATGAAAGCAAACGAGTAAACAGATGTGAATAAAAGGGAGGAAGAATAAAAGGACATGAATAGGAGAAGCAGAAGAAAAGTAGGCTATTGTGCGAAAAATCTCAAGATAACGAAACATGAAGCGCAGTAAGAAAACGTGTTTCGGTAAAAACATGAGCGAACTGTCAATTACATACTGATAATTCGTTTCTGACCAGCGGCCAATAATTTGAAAGTCTCTTGAAGCTTCCAAAATCTGAAAGTCACGAACATCTCACGTTGAATGTACGTGAAGGCAACATGATTACGAAATAAAAATACATCGTCACAAGTGCGCCAACAATTCTCGACCGCGACGAATCTTTTCAATCTTTTCCAATAGAACATGCATGTCGCAGCCGAGAATTGTCGAAGATGTCAGACTACCGTTTGAAAATTCTCGACCGCGATTGACTGGCATAACGTTTTCTTTTCGCGTGCCGGCCCTCAAAAAGCCCGGTGACAAGAAAATGGAAGCGGGGCATAACCTCTACGAGAGTTCGAGGCGGAGGAAGAATAAATTGACAAGTGTAAGTGACTTGCAGGGAGAGAAAAGAATATTTATCGCTGCCTAATCACCTTTAATTACGCGCTGCGATGCGAACAAATGTTTCCGCAAATATAAACGTCCGAATGCAAACGCATAAAAGTAATATTGTTGCAACGCAATTATTCGTGGTTACTTGGTATTAGTTTGTACAAATAACTTGTCAAATTTGCTGTATCTTCACCGTTTTTTCACGTTTACGACAGAATGCATAGATCTGATAATGTACCATCTCTTCAGGACAGATAAAGCAGACTAAATTGAAAAGTCTTTTACCGGTCTTTCGTTTGCAATAATTAATGAGGTCAATTAATTTTAATTATTTTTATTAATAATTTAATTTTTGATTTTCATTGATCAAGTCTTGTATTTTATCTCGTTTCATAAATTGGATTTATATTTGGGCGATCTTGAATGCAACGCAATATAACCTTTCGTTACAGTTGGAAAATATTTTTTTTCATTTATCTTATTGGATCCATTCGTTTCTGCTTTTTAATATCACTTTCCTGTTTTAACGATCATAAGAATTCCGCAAAACACATAACTTCATTCAAATTAGAAAATATTTGGTTCCGTGCATTCGCCATATTGTATCTATTATTTTGAATTTTTGTACTTTATAGTTTTATTTTCGTACTTCTTTAAACATTATTAAATTAAGTATGTTTTCCATCTCAAGAGTCAGATTGAAAAATCTCTTATTATTAGCTCAACGATAATTCTGTAAAAAAAAAACCAGATTCTTCATCAAGCCACGTAAAAAAAAGCCTTGAAACGTAGATACTAAAACAACACGAGAAAGCCAAATGACTTTTTGTTGACAAACCGGTTTAGTTCATTAAAAATCACGCACTTAGAAGACCCGGGCCTAGGACTTTGCTACGAGCCTAATAGAGCGGCAATCCCGCGATGTAAAAATACAAGGCGAAACATCGCGCGTGTAACCAATTTCCGGGGCAAATTGTCCATTGGCCCCTGCTGCATTCAACCGTAATGATTTGCAGTTTGAAGGTTCGGGGCAAGTTTCTGATTGATCAGGAGTGCGCATCCAATCGGGAATGTTACACCATGGCATTCTTAGGGCCGTGGCACACGACCACTGCCATAATTCTCGACTACGATTGGTCAATTCGTTTATTGCTTAAGGCCGTTTGTGTGCCACGGCCCATTCTATGAGAATTCACATTTTAAAGCATAAAAATTACAAATTAGGCTACCTACATCTTGCCTTGTGACCCACATTGGCGTTTTCTCATATGCTGTTTAGTTTTAGTTAGGGGTCTTGCTTTAAGTTGATTATTCTTTAAACGCTTGCCTGCAAACTAGCGTGCCTTTAAGTATTATATCAATTATTGCGAATAATGTTATCACGGCCTCAGTGGTCGAGTTGGCTAAGACGCCCGTCACGGATCGAGAGAGGTCCCAGGTTCGAATCCTGGCAGAGGTAATATTTTTCGCAATAAGAATAATTCACAGCACGGGGAAGGGGGCTATTGAATGCTGAATGGTAGCATCAGAAAAATGCAGCATTTCGAATACAATTACAAATCGTTCGTCGATTTAAATATGTAAATTCGCTGACGGTAATAATTCCACTTGTAAGAAAACTGCGTTATGTCCGAAAAGGAAATCGGCGCGCGGAACAAAGTTGGAAAGAAACGGTATACAAATTCACATTTTCAAATATAAGAATTACAATTTGGGCCGCCTGCCTTTTGTGACCCACATTTTCTTGTATGTTGTTTAGTTTCAGTTAGGGGTCTTACTTTAAGTTTATTGTTCTATGAGAAATCACACGAGTGAAGATGGAGGGGAGGAGAGGCGAGAGGAGACCGGGAGGGACACTCGATAAATATCGACGTCCGCGTCTGAATGGTGAACATTTAAATTCGGCATCCGGACGAAGGCTCTGGAAAGGGCGAACTACGGCCGGGCCGGGGCCGTAAGCGTCAACGTCGCCGTAACCCTTCTAATTACCATGACGATAAAGGTCCGCCGTGCCGGCCGTGCATCTCAAATGTAAGAGCATGCCCGGATGATCACAGTTGACGTGGTCGAAGGCCCCGCTGCTGCCCCTCCTTAATTCCTGCCGCCTTTTCTCGAGGTCAGGTGCCATCAGGCTCCCGAGGGTCCCTTCGCTGCCAAGTTGTCCCCTCGTCGCCAAGGTAAATGGCTCACCGAATCGCCGAGAGACCGCCGAGCGTCGCTCCCCGTGGGCGAAGCATCAATCGTCCGATCTGTTCACTCGAGTCGTATCGCTCTCTTCAAACTGCTTCGAGGGGTCCACGCTCGCTCCTCCCCGCTCTCTAACCCGCGCACAAAAATCGTCCTGTACAGTCGCGCGGTCACTTAACGATCTGGCCGCGACCGAGGGATATTTCCAAAATGTCTGAAAGTCATCTCTGCTCCGTTCGAATCATCTAGGCGCCAGAGGCTCCACGTTCTAACGCGAGATCCTCAAATCGACCGACGCGCTTCGGCATGTGCGTCGCGCCAACACGTACGAGTACGCGTCGCGGCGTCGTCCGCGGACGAGCGACGCGGAAACAGGCGGGCACGGAGAGGAGGAAGAAGAAAACTGGAAGAGAACGCGGAAGCGGAGAGCGGATGAATCACCCAACGAGAAGACGCGACGCGCATCGTGCGCGAACTGACGCCACGCCGCTCGTCCGAGATCGTAGCGGCCTGAGAGCGCGCGAGTAAATAAGACCCCCCCCCCTCCCTCCCGCCGGCGCTCCCGCGCGCGCCGACGTCGCCGTCGTTGGCGGCGCAGCGATGGCGCGCCGGCGAAGGTGACCAATCAACTGGCGCTAATTACCCCAGGGGGGGCTGCTGGCGGAGGTCCCGCGCGCGCTCAGCAACCGATTGAGCGGCGGCCGCCCGCCCCCGCGACGCTCCCGGTAAGGACACGGCACGATAAGGCTCCAATTTTAATAAGGCACGCGACACCCGGCGACGGTAACGAATTGACACCTGAAATTTTTCCGCAATTGCCGAGCACAGTCGCTCGAAACGTAAATAAATGAGAGAAGATTGCCCGCGATACGACTTTAGCGTAAATAGTTACGTAAAAAAAAAAAAGTTATGTAAAAAGAGAAGTTACGTAAAGTAAGTGTAACTGAATCCCGGTGCGACGAAATAGCCGGGACGCGGCGGACGCGCCGAAATTCGATTGCGCAGCTCGGTGGCGTTTTCCTCGCGGTCAAACGTCGCGCGCGCACGCGAGTTTCTTCGCAGGACGATTGGACACGAAATCCGGCGCGGCCTTGTCCTTCGAGATCCTGCAGAGATCGTATTTTCGCCGGAATCTCCGCGAACCGTGAGAGAATTCCGTCGCGCCGGGGCGCGCGGCGCAACGGCGATTAGATAATCGAGACCCGAGCGTGATCGATTGCACACGCGCGCGCGTTTCGAACGCGTCACACGATCGCGCGGCGTCGATCGTGTGACGTCAAGGGTCGATTATAGGTTTTACAATCGGCGGAGCGTTTGCGACCGGCCGGTGGCGGACTTGACGCTAGATGCAACCGCGATAGCGCGGTTATCAATCGGCGCCGGGATAATCTATTATAATTGCTATTTATACGCGTGGCCTATTTATAGCGCAATCCCGCAGTTTCAGCGATCCGCAGATCTCCTCTCCTCCACCTTTCGCCCGACCGAGGCGCGGAAAGAACGACCAGATAACATCGGGGACTCGATAAAGAGAAAGGATACTCCCGTGTATATAAATTGCAAGTGCTTTTTATTTTCTTTTTCTCTTTTTTTTACCTTTGAGCAAAACGGCGCGCGCTCGAAAGTGAGCGTGCAAGTCGAGAACTTTCGTTTCGATGCAAAAAGTAATACGGAGTAGCCGGCCGTCCCAACGTAAAACGGACACTCCGTATGTGTAATGTGCAGCGAGATGGTTGCACAATAGAATAATGATTCCGGTAAATCGACGTATCTGAGGTGTTACATAACGATGGAAAAATTGTTGTGCACGATGACGGTGGTTTCGACTCCCACCCACTCACCCCCCCGCGCGAAATTGCCGCGCGCGAGAGCGTCATCGGGTAGAGAAAACCCCCATAGATCGGCGGGGCGGAGGCGGCGGCGGCGGCGGGGGAGGAGGGGGAGAGGGGAATTTTCCACATGCGGCATCGCGCCCTCAATTTTCACCGTCTGCCGACCCGGTCTGGCGTCGATAACGCGAATTCGCGCCTTTTTTTCCCCCCCCTCTCTCTTTCATTCACGACCCGTACGCACCGGCTTAACGACGGCGTCCACTTGTTTTTTTCCCGCGGTCTTTTTATTCCTCGCTAACGATCGGCCCGCCGACTCTCTCGCGATCGCAATTCGCGCTCGTCACGAAACAGACCGCGGCGGGTATCTGCGATCTGCGCAGCGCGACGGCTCGCACGGACCCTGGCGGCGCTGTGCCAAGCGTGTGGCTTTAGGTTTATTGTTGTTATTATTTATCGTTATCGGTATCTCGGTCGTCACGGAAATCCGAGATCCGGAAAGCGCGGGAATGCGACGACGGAGAACCGTCTGTCGTGCGGCCGTCGTTGACATCCACCCGCCTCATTAGCGTGCTTTCGGCGGTTGTCTTGAAAACAACCCCCCCCCCCCACCCCTCGAGAGGATCCAATTTCGCACGCGTGTGGCTAGGGTCTATCATTTAACGCTAGTTTCGTCGAGTGTCTCTCTCCAAACTGGAAACGCGATAGTTGAAATTAAACGGCGGCTGTGGAAAAAGGGAGAGAAAGTCGAGGCCGCTATTTGCATCAAGGAAAAAAAAAATAACAGCCACCGATTAAAAATCTTCTGTACGTCGCGTCGGGCGCTGTGTACGTCGTGCGTGTTGAGCGCTGGCCTGCTGGTGTTAATTTCAATGTTAATATCAGTCACGCATCGTCGACACACACTCGCTGAACTAAACCAACATAAATTTATACGTTGAACTGCTAGAGTCAAGATACAACGGGATTTAATCTAAACGGCATAGGATTATGTATTATGTATTAAGTCAAGCTTGCTCGAACGATTACGACTTTGTATAACCTGATGTAGAGTGGATTAGATTGAAACGCGGTTTAACGCAATTGTAGATCACGTCAATCCCCACGTGAAAAATCTAAACGGAGAGGATTTTCCCTTAAAATTTATCCTGAAAATCGTGTAAGCGTGGGACGACATGGCGACGAAATGTTAAAACAACACGTTAACATAATGTGTTTTAACATTTCTTTTCAGTTATTTCAATAATTTTACATTGAGGTCAATTAACACAAGAGCAATATGTTAAATTAACGCATGAATGTGTTAAACATTTAACACAAAAATTTTTACCGGCATTTAACAAGAAAACACAAATTTTCCAACTGTGCAGTAGGCGTCGTCCGTTGGTTCCACCATGAATTTATTGCCCTTGGGGCGAAGTCTGTTTAGTGGGAAATTAATTGCTAGATCGTGTAATCGTTGCGAAAAGAGATTTGTGATTGAAGTTGGAACGTTGAAAACCCGCTACCTCATATTAGACTCCTATCTCATAGTAGAGGAGACTTTCCTCCACGAATATTGTTATTATTCGCATTACTAAACCCGAGCGCCACGACGAAAACGACCAAGCGATATACTCGAATGCACCACGTATGCAAATCGCGCATTTACTATCCCGATCTGTAAGATGAACCCTACAGATACAAACGGTTTCATTCAACCGCCTTACAATCTCTCCTAAAGTATGAATAATTCGAGTTGTATCCCTCCTCCCCCGCGCGCGATCGTCCCTCCGATTCATCCTCCCGCGCCGGCAAATCAGCGAGTGCAATAAAGTCCAATGTGCGCAAAACAATCGCGCTCAACGACATGTTTGTTGCTCGTTCTCCTCCTCCGCCTCCCCCGCCGCCGCCTCCTCCCCCGCCTCGTCCCGGCTCTTTACACGCGCCTGTCGTTCAATTATATTCGCTACACATACACACGTACGCACGGAGGAGGGACTCCTACATGCTGATAGCGCGGTAAACGTCTGTAAGCTCGCCAGTCCCATTAGTCACGCTAGACGATTACCGGTCGCTTCGGCGACGCCGATGGATCACATGGAAAACCTGTGACGAGTCTTTTTCCTTTTTTTTTTTGCGAAAAATCGACCGCGCGGACGAGCGTGTTTCCCCAGATCGTTGCGGTTCATTATCGCGCGTCATGCATCGGCCGACTTATGTAAAGTTTACTCTCAATTGAAAGGGCGAGATGCAGTTTCGCGATATCCGCGCGGGAGTGTCGGGTGGCCGACGCTCTCTTTTGTTCGCGATAATAACTATCGCGAGCGTATCGCAAGACAAACGAGAGAGAGAGAGAGAGATTAAACGAGTCGATCTCGAGCGTCGCCACGTTAAACGACAGCGCGCGGCGACGAGAGGCCCAAAATAATCGTGCGCGCTTCCCGCGAGTCGGATCTCTAAGGCCCGGTTTTCACCAACGTCGCTTAACTTTAAGCTCAGTTCAGTTCGTTCCCTGTCTCTTTCCAACTGTTACTCTGGAAGGAGGCAAACATGAATTAAACGAAGATTAAAGTTAAGCGACGTTTCGTGAAGCCAGGCCTAACGAGCGTGGAAACGCGACGACGAGATCGATAAGTCGATGCTATCGGAACGACATCGGCGTCATGGTGTCCGCGCGTGCGCGACGGCGATGGCGATTCTAGCATGGCTCGTTGAACGCGAATCTCGTCTACCGCTGGACGATGACCCGTCTCGCTTATTTATCGTCGCGCTTTTACGGCTTAATTGTTATTCGGCGCTCGCACTTACGAGACGCTCGACGCGCGCACGCGCACGCACGCACGCACACACGCGTGCGCGAGTACACGTATCGATTACGATCTGGATAGCAGACACTTATGCGATGCCAATTATTTTCTTTATGACTTTATTTATTCAAACGCGTTATTTCCATCTACGTACATTCTGCCACGCGTAAGAGAGAAGCGTCTGAACTCGATAAATCCGCTTTTATTCGGATAGAACGTTGCGTCCAGTGACACCTGGGAATACCGGTGGTGTGAAAATACATTTTTTGGGGCAAATCGTTCATTGGTTCTTGCTGCATTCGACCGTAATGATTTGCAGTTTGAAGGTTTGGGGCAAATTTCTGATTAGTCACGAGTCCGTATCCATGGAAAAAAGAATGTTGTATCAACAAGATCAGTGCAATTGAAATAAAATCGTTGAAACAACATCGGTATTAATAAATAAAAAACATCAGATTGTTGTTAATAATCTGGACATTTAGTTCAATGCTTAAAATAAAAATCCATAGCAAATACAATTGAGCGAATTATTTATGTTTGTGGCAGCCCGTGACGTTAACGTTTAATTCAAACAACTTCATTTTGTTTAATTCAACAGCATTTTTTTCCGTGCAGGAATGTTACGTCTGGGAATACCTACGATTTCTGATGCCGTCGACGGCAAAATTATTCCAGACTAACTACGAATCATCGAAAGGACAACTACTCATCGTGGTCTGATTAATCACGTCCAATTTATCAAGTACAATTCTCATTTTTTCTTAAATGTATTCTTCGCGGAGGCACTTCAAACTTGCGCTGTAACTGGACGTACTAAAATGTCAACGCGATCGACTCAATTTGGAAAACGAGGATTTTACCTGCTTCATTTGATTGCTACAACGTCAGCGCTACACCGCGTAAGACGGCGCTAACTGTATCGAAACTACGCATTTGCGTTGCGTTTCGATTGAGCGAGGAAAACACGCCGTTCGAAAGAGGGAGGAAAAGGGGAGAGTGGGGTTTTATTTCGCGACGACCATGAGAGCGAGATGAATACTAAATAGCGACGCATTTTTGTGGACTGGACTTGGTGCCTTATCTTTAGGTGGACGGCCTGCTATCGTTGGTGGTTCTCATAGTTAATGGACGATAACGCACGCGACACAAACGCGAACCGAGATTCAGAATCTTTTCCGAGTCTTCGCGATGTTATTCGGAATATTTAAAGATTGTTGAGAGAAGCCCGAATCCTTCCAGCGCCACAGAGAATCTCCGGAAACAACTGGAAAATTTTGAAAACAGTCATCAAGTAATAACCACTGATGCAGACTTGCAGAGAATATTAAAGGTCTTAGGGATTTCTCGAAATGTACATCTAAATGTACATCTAACGATTTGGAATCTCTGAAAAGATTCAAGGATCTTTGCAGATCTTTAAGGAAAGAGTTGAAAAACTTGAAAATTGTTGAAATTCGTTAAAGAGTTCTAAAAGTGTTCAAAGATGTTTGAAAATCTGAGAGCAAGTGCCAGGGAAAATCCGAGGCACTTAAAAACGCAGAAAAATTACTGCATAATTCTGAGTTGTCGAGTCTAAGAGTTTCTAAAGTTCTAAAGTTGCTCTTTAAAGAGTTCGTCGAACATCTCTAAAAGGACACAGTCGCTTGAGCATCACTGCTCCATTCAAACGCTATCATGTTTCGTGAACACGTGCGTCCTAGTACATTCCTCAAATCATTTGCCGATGAGCCCAGCTGCTTGGTCAGCTGAGCACCGCTGATTTGTAAATCAAGTCTTGTTCGTTGGCCTCAAAATTGGCTATTTCGAATTTCAAATATCGGCTTTGATCTCGGCTAATTAAGCAGTCAGCTTTTGAATAAAAAAAAATATAACAAATTAATAAAATTGGTATGGCTCAAATGTGTTAAACACAAATTGGAGGAATAAAAGACTACGAGCCGTGACAGGGTGTTAGTGTCCAAGGTTCAAACCCTGGTCGAGGTGATATTTTTTCGCAATAAATTTAGAATAAAATATTTAAACACTAACACCCTGTCACGGCTCGTAGTTCTTTATTCCTCCAAAAAAATATGTTAATGTAAATCAATGGAAGTTTCGCATATGTGTATAAGGCCGAATCGCGATAGTTGACGATTTAACAGATCTACAAGGACTTACTGAAATCATTCAAAAGAGAAACGTACACGAAAATTTTGCTCTTATAGAAAAGTTGATTGGCTATTCGCATAGCTTTGAGCTGTAAATTCAGCAAAATATAAGTCTAAAGACAAAGACGCTCAAGTAGTAACGTTTCTAAAGTCCTGTGTCCAGGATGCTAGAACTTGGACCAAGGACACAGGCCTTAAGTGGACATCCTGCATTTAAATATTCATTTGAGTATATTTCTCTCTTAAGGTTAATACAATCTGTTACATGGATCCTCATAAGGAGCATCTAATTTATTCAAAAATTTTATTTATGTAAGAACTAGATTAATGTCGCTGACATTTTTTATGCCTCATACCTTCAGTGTATTTTCAAATGCAACATCCCATTAAGCACCGAGCATCAGTTACATTGCATTTATGTTATAATTTCTCACTCAACAATGTAAATGTAATATAAAACATGTGTTATCTGGGAACGCATTTAAACTATGATACCTTCCCCGCGGTATCGAACGTGATATATCGATACACTAAACTCGCGGACATCCGACGCGACTTCCGATTGGTTATCTCATCCTGAAGTGGAGTCATGACGAGCGAACGCGACCAACCAGCGTTCGCGTTGAAGCTAGCGCACAGCTAGTGATATCGACACTCGCTCGACGGTGATGTCGAACATCGATTCTTCTAGGAAACACTCGCCGCAACGGTCGAGCAGTGATGCCAGTTTAGCAGACAGAACCGAAACAGCTGTGTCAAACATGGAGAGGGGGTGCGCCGGTATGCACACGACACAGCGGCCACGTCTGTTACGTTACGTGGACGTGATCCCAGTTTTCGTGTGCGTGCCGGCGCATTCCCTCCATATGCTTACAGGATGTTGTTCGGTCCACGACGGCGTACTGCGTCCGGTTTAACAGTTTGACCTGTCACACAATAGGAAAGCACAGACAATAAGAGTAAGGAATAGAAACCTATGTAGTGTCAAGACACAACAAGCTTGTTTTCTATTGCTGCACTGGTGAACTAGTGCAGTAAGCTAGAATGAGAAAAATATACTTGTCTTACTCTAATTTACTGCGCTAGTGCACCAGTGTAGCAACAGAAAACAAGCCTATTGATTCGTTGGCAATAGGAGTGCTGTCCAATCATCTGCTTTTTAAAACCATGTGGCTGTCCCAGAAGCCACGTTCGCAGGCACAATTGTTGAGTGGCCGCTCTCAGGTTGCTCTCTGGCCATAGACATAATATATCTAGACCGACATTGAGCGAGGGAGAACACAATAGCAAAAAAACACAGTTTGTCTTTTTCCTCCACTGCTCAAATAAAGGCAAACGCTCCTCCCGCCTGCCCCCTTTTCGCGACAAATAGACGTGACCGTATTAAGCTTCCCTGGTAAAAATTCCGTTAGAAACGGATAGAACATGCATTAAATTCTATCTGTTTCTGACTGTTCTACTATGCGTTTCGCGAAAACGCATAGTAGAACAGTCAGAAACAGATAGAATTTAATGCATGTTCTATCCGTTTCTAACGGAATTTTTACCAGGGTTATCACACAATGCCAGGCAACAGGCAATAGGAATAGGGAATAGAATTTTTGACACGTTCGATTCGTCGGAAATTTTTTTCCAACCAATCCAACGCGGCAGAAATTTTATTTCCTGTTCCTGTTGCCTGGCATTGCGTGATAGGCTTTAGATCCAGATGGAGCCAGGAGCCAATTCAATAATAATAATAATAAAAGCAAACGCTCGGTCTAAATATATTATGTCTATGGACTATTACGGACTATTGTATTGACACTATTGTGATTGTGTAGGAATTGGGCAGTTCTGCTTGGGACGTTGAGTGAATAACCGTTTACTAACCTAGAAGACTTTCGTCGTCATTAATTGCCTTAAATATGGCGCGTAAGAAGCCTAGCACCATGTGGAAATATTTCACGAAAATAGACAACAGTATTGCACGGTGCAATTTGTGCAGTCAGACCGTCAAAAGTTTGGGTACCACATGTTACATGATAAAACACTTTAGGGCATACCATCTACAATGGAACGACACGGGGAAAAAGAACAACAGGCTGAAAACGTCAAAATTAATCACGAAGAGAGGCAGAAGGTCCGTTAAGCACACGTAAATAATAGAGCAAAGTCCTCTATTATGAGATAGGATCCTAATGTGAGATAGTAGGTTTTCAACGTCTAAATTCAATCGCGAGTCTCTCTTTCGGAACGATTGCACGATCTAACGATCAATTCTTCACTAAACAGATTTCACTACAAGGGCAATAAACTCATGGTGGAACCAATAAATGATTAATTTGGCAGAAACTTCGCCATCTTATATTGGGAGCCTATCTCATAATCGGGGACTTTCCTCTAATAATAATGCATCTCGTCTTGTGCCGTACGTATCTAATGATGGATTTTCTAAAGCCTCCCTTCATTTGCAGAAATCGCTGGCAGAAAAGAAACGATGCTGACAACACTGACACTTTGCACGCTGTAGCTGGAACAAGTTGTGAAACTATGGTTGAGATACAGGTACTTTGCCAGTAGCCAATCAGTTTTATACTTTTGTTAAGTCCCAGTCTACAATAGATGATTTAAGCCCTAAGCTTTAAGAAATTGGCCAATCACGGTCAAGTATGAGAAGAATGCGCGACTGTGATTAGTCAATTTCTTAAGGCTTAGGGCTTAAATCTCTATTGTAGACTGGGACTAATGCGTTCGAACTCTATGTTACTATGGCTGCGTTCGGTTTGGGCGCTCACGTGCTGTAAGCATCGCTCTATCTTCGTTTGATATTCAATGTGCAACGAAGATAGAATGATGCTTACAGCGTGTGAGCGCCCAAACCGAACACAGCCATAGTAAGCCTATTTGTGTTTTAATAGAAAGAACCGCCCATTACACAAATGAGTACATCGTCCTCAGTAACGCTCGGGAGGCTATCTACTCATGGTAAGATCATGTTCTGACATTGACAAGATTAGATAGTTATATAAAGAAAAAGGAAAGACCAAAAGCATTATATGAATACATGTACATCGATAGTAAAAATAATTTAATGCTTTGTTCTTTTGACTTCTTACTCCTTTTAAACTTCCATTAATATATTATCAAAAACTTATGATTAAAAACTAATTTTTCAATAAATTTTTTAATATTATTTTATTCTATCAATTGTATTCTTTCTAATAACTTCCACCCCATCTCTCTAAATGTAAATTTTACATAAATTATCTTTCAGGTGCTCGTCAAACTCAGATACTGGATGCAATTCTCTATTATATCTGCACTGACTACCAGCCGTTCAACGTCATTCAACAGAAGGGATTCAAGTATCTGATGAAGAAACTGGCACCTTTTTACGAAATCCCTGATAAAACTGCGATCAAGAAAAGACTCGATGAGAAATATGACATAGCAGCTGACATTTTCAAGCAAAATCTGAATAAGGCTTTGCATATGACTATCACTATAGATACCTGGTCCGAAGTAGGATCCCCCGGAAGTTTCTTGGGAGTCAAGGTGTATTTCATAGCGAATAAGGTCAAGAAGATAGAGTCAGGGAACATCGAGGTTGTCGAATTACTCGAGTTCACTGCTGATTGCATCGCAAGTGAAATCCTGAAGATTCTGACCAAATGGTGCATCGACGTTAATAAAGTTGTAGCGGTTGTGACCAACAATGAACCTGATATGATTAATGGCGTCACGCGGATATTTGAGCAGAAAAAGCACATTACCTGTTTTGCTTATACCATCAATTTGGTGGCAGAGAACTGCTTGAAGAACTGCAAAGGCCTTGATAAGCTCGTCAATAAAGTTAGATCGATTGCAAAATTTGTGAAAAACACCGATCTAGCTAACGAGCTGCATCGGTATCAGATCGATTCGGGTGTACCCGAAGACGCGACGAAGAAACTCATTCTGAATGCCGATATGAAGTGGAACAGCATATTCTACATGATAGAACGGTTTATCGGGCTCTGGGACGCGATCCAAAAGATTCTACTTGCAAAACATATTCCCGAGTATATAATAAAATGCGTGCCAACCGATGACGAGTTAGTCACATTGAGGGAAATACTGAACCTGCTGAGACCGCTAGAGTTCATGGTGCACGAGTATTCGACCAAGAATTATATCGCAGCATCGAAGATAATACCGCTCATCAACTGCGCCATAACCGAGTACCAAATTATTGAGCAGACGACGGATTTATCTGTCAGATTGAAGAAAGCCATCCTGACGGAACTGGAGACCCGATTCGGTCAAATAGAGTTTACCACTCTGCTGTCTATCGCCACTATACTGGATCCCCGCTTCAAGACCATACATTTTCGGAACGCGCACGCTCTGACCGATATCGTGAACCTGTTGTGCGGCATGTTGAGTAAATATTCTAGCTCATCCGACGAGTCGAACACCGAGCAGCAGAAAACAAGATACAATCTTTGGAGCCATCATAAATTTTTGACGCACATGTCCAAGAAAGACAACATGTCTCTACAAAATGAACTGTCCTTGTACCTGGACAAACCGCTAGCGGCTCTGGAGGACGATCCTTTGGAGAGATGGGAGAGCATGAGACTCCTGTGTCCCACCTTGTACATCATGGCAGTGAAACACCTGTCGATTGTCGCCACGTCAATTCCGGCGGAGAGACCGTCAAACGCGGGAATCGCAACGACTCGGTTGAAGAACCGACATGGCAAACACTTCAGGAAATTATTGTTTTTAAATTCAATCGATCAGGAATACTGGTCTTGATGAATTTCCAATGCAGAACGATCCTCTTGAGAAAAATGACGTCCATTGCATATTCCATATGTAATTATATATAGTTAACATAATTGATATTATGTTAAATAAACTATGACTGATTAGAAGCATTTTCATCGTTGTAGACTATTATTTCTCCTTAGAAAGAATACCAGTGTCAATACTGATGACACTCAGGCATCCGTACTTGCACCGTACGTTTTCAAAGTAAAATTATCAATACTCCATACGAGTATCAACGCGACGAATTCAATGATAAATTCAAACGCATGTATCAATACGCTAATATTTTTAGTAAAAATGTTCAACATTATTGATAAGAATAGAGCGACGGGCAGCGAGAGGGGAGGATGACTCTCGTAATGTGATAACGAACGGAGGAGAACACGCGGAGAATCACGCGCGCGTAATTGAATCGCGGATCGTCGCGACGGCTCGTTCACTTACATCATCCCGTGCTTTCTTTCATTTTATTGCGATCGCTAGTTCTTAACGATCCGATAAGAACGCCAGAATATGAGACGTTTATCCGATATTGCCGAACTGCTTCGCGCTTTTTTGCTGTGCGCGTCGCACTTGAGATTCCTTCAAGCATCAATGACGTAAGCGAAAGTGTTGACGAATGACTGAATCAGGCGTCCTTATTCGGCTTCTGCGATACTTTGCGACTCGCAGATGCCGCTTGGGATCGTTCGAGGAAGCAAATTGCTAAGACCCTGCAGATTGGCGGTGATTGAGTCTACATTGCAAAGGCCTTGGAGGCGTTTAACGCGCCGGCATCGCGTCGTTTGTGCGAACTGCAAAAAGTTTCTCTCGCCATTCGATTAGCCTCCTTGCAGGCGTCAAGTCTAACGGCTCCGTAAGGGTATTGAAATTCTTATATCCACACGTTTGATCCTCGTACATTTTTACAAATATTTTTATATATTCAATCTCACAGAAGAGTCGACGTTTGATTCAACACCTTACATTTCATTCTTCAATACCTTGATTTTCATTCAAATATAATACCAAGAGGTGAACTGCTGACCAAAATCACGTACACCAATGCCTATACGAGGACAATTTTCTTTTAGAACTTATCCTGAAAATCATGTAACCGTGGGACTCGATCTTGTTATCTTAGTTTATCTTTATAATGCCCCAGCAAGGCCAAATAACACCCATTAATGCCCAAAAAATGCCGAGTAATGCCAGAAATCTGTACAATGCCCTCAGCGGTTTACCACCTCGTATAATACTTTTACATCTGAATTAGTAAAATACTCAATTACTCATCAGCCGACTTCGATTACAATTATTTAAACGAACGTAAAATATACAATGACGTGTTGCAGACTGAAATGCTCTCGTGCGGTCGCAGATTTAAATGGCCGATAACGGCACGCATGGAGATAGATAGCTCCGCAAGCAAAAGTTCGTATATTATCGAATTTTTCGAGAAAGCGCGAGAGCTGAAGGCGCTCCTGAAATCGGTAACTCGGCTGGTTTTCATTCCGAGTCTAAGCAGACAACGGCGCGATGATTTACGATCGCTCGTTTAAGTGGTACTCGTTCCCGTTTACGGCGATACTAACGACGTCGGGCACCTAGCTTCGAGATAACGCGAGGTGCTTCATTCGGGCACTTAAAAATCATTGCCCGACGCCTGGAGTATCCGTCGCCGATGATAAACGTGCAAATTTATTTCACGTACAACGCACATCCCTCCCGAGTCTAAAGCCAGCGGCACACGATGCTTTTTTGCTTGCGTGCATCTTTGCTAGCTGGTGAGAGCAAATCAGGATGCAATCTTAACTCATCTGACCTATCACGTGGAGTCCTGATTGACTCTAGCCAGCAAAGGTGCGCGCAAGCAAACCAGCAAGCGAAAAAGCATCGTGTGCCGCTGGCTTGAGGTATCACGCGGTCACGTGGTCGCCGGGAGGGTCACGTGGTCACCGCTGGCGCCAAAGGTGGACAAACTTCTCGCGCGTTACTTTTCACAATTGGCAACTTGTAACTGTAACTAGTTACATTTTTAGCGAAAAAACTGTAACTAAATATTTTTATAAAGTAACTTCCCAACCCTGCATAAAATATACATTGAAATATACATATAAAGTTATGAAATGACACAATAGAATTTTAAAAGATCCTAAAATCAGACACAAATTATAAATTGCATCGGACTTGCAGAACCGTAAGGATTGAACGTAGTATCAAATCAAGATCCAAGAGCTTTAAAAACAAAGGGAAATAAAAGGGCTAGCGACTCAAGAGCTGCGGATACTAAATATATAAATTAAATAAACAATAACGTGACGAACGTTTCGACCTAATGATTGAATTTAATCAGTCAAATCCAGTGCTGTGCACGTGCACAAATTTCTATTTTCAAATCTTCGAATAATGAAATGTCCAAATAGTTTCGTAGAGTGTAGCGTCTTTAGATCATCAGAACCGCGAATCCTTGGATCTGTGTATCATTTTAAGCGCAGAAAGTGTAACATAATGCAAACAACAGACCTAGCGTGTTAGCGCCTGCATCTGGTTCTGATAATGACGCCAGCTCGTGAATAATACTATGTACCAAAGATACGTTAACGCTTCTATTAAAAGAAAAATATTTATTTCATGAACAGTTCAAAAGCACCCATTCAACATGCCATTCGCCATTTTTATGCACTTTAATATTTTCTATACATTATTTCACTTGTGTGCCAGACTCGTTCTTAATTTTGTGTTAGTAGATTTCGCGCTTTCTATTATTGTTTTCCCATTAATTTGCGCTCAGACGAGTCAGGTCGAAACGTATATCTACGTCAATGTATTTATTTTATTTTGTGAAACGAGTGTTTCTAATTCTATCCTAAAGGCCTGCTGTTTCTGCTCATAAATTGGCTGTAATACCTGCGCTAGTAAAATTTCACAAGACTCGTAAAGTTCTTCAAAACGCCACGTTGTCCCGCGACCACACGATTTTCAGGATAAATTTTGAGAGAAAATTCTCTCCGTGTATCATTTCATCATTTTACTTCTTCGTATTTTTTACATAAGTACTTCGTGCGCAGAAAAAAAGTGTGAGACAGTTCGAACAAACGTCTCTTGTCTGTTGTTCTTTCGGATCGTTAAGAACTATCGATCGTAATGAAACGCATGGAAAAAGTGCGGGATGATGTAAGTGATCCCGTCACGGCGATCCGCAGCGCGCGATTCAATTACACGCGCGTGATTCTCCGCGTGTTCTCCCCCGTTCGTTATCACATTACGAGAATCGGCCTTACCCCCCCTCCCCCTCTCCTCTCCCCGCTCGCCGCTCTATTCTTATCGCGGTGCGCCAGGAATGCATTTTCATCGCGACGCATCTTCGGGTGACGCCCGCGGGCCGCGAGCTCCGCCGAAATGTCTCACCGGGGGATATTTTTAACGGACTCTCATTAACGAATCTCGCACCGGTCGCTGCAACGTTTTGGCGCACCGGACGCGAGAAAAATCTTTATATATAATGAAATATATATTTTTCCGTGGGGGCCGCCTTCTGAATTCTCTTTTATCGGTAAAAGCGCCTCTAAAAGTGGCTTGTAGCCAATCAGAAAGGCTTATTAGCCACTTTTGCTGATAAAGGAGGATTCAGAATACGGGTCTTTCTCGTCTTCGAAATGATACTTTTCACGACACGTCCCTCGCGATGGATCTCGAGACACTGTTAGCGCTGTTAGCATATTATTAAATTGATTGTCAATTTAATTATGTGATTGTGCTATCTCAGCTTTGGTTTGGCACTGCGTTTCAAGACGGACGGCGCGTGGTCTGGACTGAGTAATGTATATAAACTCACGCAATAATATTAGATCCAGCCCGACCGCGTAAAGCCTGTGTCACACTACGTTTTGCGGATCGCAATTCGACCAATCGGATACAAGGATGTCTCGTCAGATTGGCTGAAACGCGATCCACATCCGTAATTTCGATCCGATTCGCAATAAGAATAAGCGTGGATGCGGAGGTCTTAAGGCTCACTTCTATCCACTTGTATTACCCTTCCTTTCCGTTTTCTTTTCTTCGCTTTCCGATCGAATTATCGAGTCGCATCGCTTTAATCTCACGGCAAGAATTTTACGAGATTGTTCGCATTAAATCTCGAGGCTAGAGTTTTTATCGGCGCCGAAAGCGCAACTTGGATCGCCGCGTTCTCCCTCAAGCCCGGTCTATAATTCTTGCGAAATTAGAAATTTTCTATTCTTTATATACGCACGGAGAAAAATATCTCGACCTATCTAATCGGACAATCAATTATAATACATATTAACAAACGGATATGTTCAATCGAATTGCATATCCGACGAAACGTATAATCGGTTTTTCCATCAAATTTCATCGGTAACTGCAATTTTATTGGATGAATTTCATCGAATACATCCATAATTTAAAGGAGAACAATCAGAACAACCGATGGTTAACTTTCCATCGAAATCACTACAATTAATCGAAGTGGCGATCGTGGCGCAGAGGATTGTACGCTGGTCTGGTAATCCGAAGACCCGGGTTCAAAACCAAACAAAACATCGTTGGTTTTCGTTCGATCGCCACATAGTGAAATGGATATAGAGAGAAGTGTTATAAGAGGTTTGGGCACGTTCCTTCAAAAACGGGAATCGATAAAATGTATCTACAAATTTACATTTACACTACTTGATCGATTTATCCGACGAAAATTGATCTCCGCGTGCAAATCCAATAGGTACGTTTAAAAAACCGTCGACAATGTACAATTGGTCACTTGCACACATTTTTATTGGCTGCGAGACGGAATGTTTCCAGACGCAACGGGCACGCTGGAGATCAGACTTTAAGCGCGGCGCATGATAAACAAACGTGTGACGACCGACGTCGCGACGCTCGCCGATCGGCGGAGCGATCGGGATCGCTCTCTCTTTCTCTCTCTCTCTCTCTCTCTCTCTCTCTCTCTCTCGCCGCCATGTCGCGCGTACGCGCACGCTACGCGCCGCGCGTAAGAATGACTTATCCTATCCGGAATTCGGGATCTCGGGGTCGGCCTACGCGTCGAGATACAACGCGACCTCGCGTGTTCCCCCTTTGCGAACGACAAATGCGGAGCCGGACGGAACGGGTGAGCGTCGCGATTTCGCGGAGACGTCGGGACGCGGTGCTCACGCTCCTCGCGAGTTTGAATCTTGCGCTTGCTCCGAAACAGATCCCTGATTTATCGCGCGACCGCTGTTGTGTATCGCTCCAGCTGGTGTGTTTATATACGTGGTCGATATCGCGGCGAGAGCAGAGCAGCTGGGCATCGCGAAGCAGGCGAGGGGGCGGGAGGTCGAAAGAGAAAGAGAGAGACATGACACGCACGTACACACGCACACACGGAAAACTGGAGCAAGTGAGAATCCCGCGGCGATCTCGCGGGTTTCGTGCGTAGCTGCCACTTACCGGCCGCGGACTTGGCACCGCTTTTCCCATGATGCCTGCGGTACTTGCTCGCCGTTACAACCCGGCCCTTCAGCAACATCGTACACGCACTCGTACGCGATCGCTCCCGACGGCGGCGCGTCCGCTACGCATTATTATGCGACCGTGCGGCCGCCATATTTGCTTGCTCTCGACTGTCGAGCCCCGCGCCGCGAATATACGCCGCCGCGGCCCGTGGTAGTTGGGTAGCTCTCGGCTCGGCTCGGCTCGGCCTTTGGCTCGCGGCCGTGCCACTGCTGCCCGCGTACGCTGACGTCACGTGGCCAATCGCGCTTGTGCTGGTACGCGCGCACGCGCGCGCACGTGCCATGTGCCGGGACCATCGCGCAGCGCGCACGCGCGCGCCTGCCGTCACGTGACCCGCGCGCCGCGGCGCGCGGACGTTTGATTCTTCCCTGACGCTCCGAGATTTTCTTACAGCGAATTCGGTTGCTTGCACGAGCACGCACCTTTTTTAGTAAATTTTTATAGTACTTTTTCAGTTAATTTTGGGACCAATATTGGGAATACTGGATTTACATTATTTCCCAATATTGCGCCAATGTATTGTGGTACTAGGTTCTGAGCAAGCCTTGGCATTGCACTCAGTACACACTAGTGCAAGCTGCCGAATTCGCTATTAAATGATCAAAGAGTATTTAGCCAAAAACCGTCCCGTACGGATGCTATACAGATCGTTTTACTGGCTGAAAAATATTTCAAGAGATACTTAAGGCGATCCTTAAATATAAGAATCGACTGTAAACAAGCCTTAGTGTGCACTCGGTGCGCACTAGTGCAAGCAACCGAATTCGCTGTTACTTTATCAGATCCCGCGGAAAAGAAAGTTCATTTTTTAAAACTCGTTACACTCTGACTCGATTAGTCGAAGGAACCGGTTTTCAAATGGATCGCAATGCTGTCATTTTTTCTTTTACATTATACTTTGATCCTGACACCACGAACGCGGGAACTTATTGAAAAACGTTAAAGGGAATTATCGATGTAATAAAATATCAATTGTTTAATCGAAACTGAACAACGGTGACGCACTCCACTGTAGTTCGACGCTCGTTACGCTTGGAGAAAACTGAATTGGTAAATTTGTTTTCTGAAATTTGCGGGGGGAGAAGAGTTCAGAGACAATGACGGAATAACAAAGACGTTCCTGGTGCGAATAGGTATGGCCTTTTACTTCACAATCTGCAGGTTCTCGTTTGACACACGCACGCACACATTACCTCGAACGGAAAGACCGAAGGGATTATATATCGAAGGCAGCCCAATGCAAAACGCGATTAATATATTGCGGCACGATAATTTTACCTCCGCGCGCTGCATTTATATATATAATTATATATAAATATATATATTTATATATGTATAAATAAATACGTTCATTTATATATTTTTATATATTATGCATATATTTATATATATCTCGATTTCCTCCTCACCACGAGACGATATCAAAGCCCACGAGACACACGCGATATGTCGAGCGTGTGGACCAAAAGTCATTGGAGAAGAAGATTGGTCTGCAACGATGCGACTCGCAGAAACACACTTTGCGATTTAATAAAAGAAAAAACTGATTTGTATACGCAATAAAATTGCTTGCGACCGGCACCGATGCCCCGATGCAGATTAACTTTGATCTGGATTTAGCTTACTCTTTATCTTCTCCCAGTTTCAGGAATTGAAAAAAAGATAAAAGTTTAGTTAAACAGGGATTACAATTAATCTGCATTGGTAGAAGTGGGCACAAGTGAAGCCACGATTCAAACGGTTCTCACAACTTATCTCCCTTTTCTGTAACAAAAAAAGGCTCGAATCTTCGATCCATTTCCGGGATAACGACTGTTGGCCCACGCCGTACGCGCCGTCAGTTATACATTTATACCGGGTGAGTACCCGAGAAAAAGACGAGACTTCCCCAGCGCAGGAAATTCAGTCGGAAACGGAATTGCTCGTTACTCGCTTTTTTCCCCAGCCACCCAGTGTACATTGTAACGCAAGTCGGGAGGGACATACGTCGCGCGCAGCGTTTATAATCGTTACACAAGGATATACAATTTCCAAAGGGTTACAATAACGAGATGCAAAAATAGACGTTACCCAACACTCATCGCGACACGGCAAGACAAATTTCTCCTCCGACTCTCCCGAAAGTACGCTGAAAATTTCTCGTCGCTCGCCCTTTCACTGCCTTTTCGCTCTCTTTCTCTCCTTTCCACTCGTCACTTCCACTAATTAGTATTTGTGCAATTAGGCGTTCCTTGCGTCTCGGCAAAAAAACTCACGTTCAGCCCACTTGTGAGTCATTAACTGATTCAATTATTTTCATGCGCAATTGTAATCGCGTGGTCGACAAATAGCGAATATCGGAGCTAATTAACTTCTATCTATCGTCGAGTAAGGTGCAAAATTAGCGAAGACTACGTATACAGAGTAAAGCATATTATACAAATTTGAAAAGAAGAATTGAAGTAAATTGGTGTTCATCCATATAGCAGAATGCTTATAAAACTTAAAAATATATATTTATATAGGAATTATTCCAAAGCTCCAAGTTCCTGTTAAAATTTTTGGAACATCTGGGAATTTGTGATGGCTAAATGCGCACCTATGACGCAAACTAGACGCTCCCAAGAATATAAGAGATTGGGAAGAGCTAACAAGATCTGCTACTCATACGTGAATTGTTAGGAAGACTAACAGTGCAAAATATACGAAATGTGATAAATCTATTTTAAAAAAATAAAAAATATAGCAAGTCAATCTAATTATCTGTTACGGAATGCGGCAATCGATCACTCCTCGCAGAATCTTGGACCCCAAGGACTCGACTCCTAGATTCTGATATCGCAGTAATTTGGGAGTCTTTACGAGATCGTAGAAAGTAAGTTGCTTAAACTTGGGAACTGCTGATCCGGATTACGAGATGCAAGTGACGAATATCGTGATTATAGTTGCGACTTGTCGTGTTCTAGACCTTGGAACTGCAGCGGCACTGTGACCAAGGCTCAAGTTCTCCATCCTTCTCATTTTACTGTTTCTCTTTCTTTCTTCCCTTTATTCATATTCAAAGAGTGCCTCTTTGGAAAACCTCCACGTGGCTCATCGTGTCGACTTCTAAGACTCCAAAGCTTGCGATTTCTTTTCGTTTTCTCAAAGCCCTGGCTCCCATTACAGTCTAGTTTTTTTGTACAAGCAGAGTTGTCGATACGTGAAATTTAATTACACTCTATTTCTATTAGTCTTAAAACGTTTCTGAAGATTACTTGGAGCTGCGTAAGCTTCGAAGCTCGTCCTCCATACCAGAAACTCGTGTTACGTTCCTAATCGCATCAGAAAATACTGTAACGTCCCTATGTTTGCCTTTTTTCATTTGTTTTATTATTTTTCTGCAAGCATATAAACCAGCGATTGTAACAGATGCTACGTGGGTCGGGATCGGGTCCCAACAAGATTATATTATATGCCGTATGTGTCCTCGACGCGAACGAGCTTTCCCTGGTCACGACAACCGCGCTAACTTGACAAAACACAATGTTTTCCATTCTTTTCTGTTCTCCTCCTATATCTTCCGTACATTCCCTCATTTATTCTTTCTCTGTCGCACTCGCTTTCTCTCTCTATCTCTTTCGCGCATACTTAAACGTTACACATTTTGACAAATAATTAAAGTCATCACAGAAGCGTCACATTATCATATTTCGTTAGACTACATTTCTCGTGTGAGTGTTATCTCATTTTGGTTAGCGCAGTAATATTACAATGAGTACAAAATGTTTTCTCAAGTTTTTCAAGCCTAGTATAAAGCACTATATTCATTATTGTTATTATTATCATTAATATATCATTATAATTATATGTATATTATATATTTATATGTATAATCATGAGTGTGCTTAACACGCCGGCACACATCGCGCGCACACATATCCTCTCGCGTGTGCACACACGCACGCACAAAGCTGCAGTCGCACCACTTAGTATCTAAGTTGTAGCGATAGTGATTTATAATAATCCGTTAATCTCTATCAAACCGAATCTTCTTCTTTTCCCGGGAAACGATGCATTGTGTTGCAATTCAAAATAAACAGCTGGTAATCACGGTTAATCGATCGTTAGCCATCGTAGCGGTCTTTTTCCATACTTCGTATCTTTGTTTCCCCCATTGAGAACAAGATTAACAATAAGATGACAATGTATAACAGAAAGATATTAAAAAAAGGAAAGACGCGAATTTAATTACTCGATACGGAAAAATCTTATATAAATGAGAGATTGTTGTTTCCGCAAATATATTTAATCAATAGATTAAAATGAAAAATAAAAATTTCTAGCATATTATTGTATATTTTTTTATTAAAGGCCAAAGTCGAATCCCTTAAGCGCGCTTTAAACCTGCTTTTAACTTTATCTTTGAATTACTTTTCATGTAAAAAATGCATATTTTTCTGAAACATATTTTCTTCGGGTTGCTGCGAGAGTTCTTTGTAAACTTTTCTTAGACTCTTACAATATTAACCTTGTAAAAAAAATTTCTAGTGCATACAGATTCTCGATATCCTAATTTTGGAGTATATCGATATTACAGTACCGCAGATACTCTTGTAATTTCTATATTTTTAATGAATAAACAAATAGAAAAAAACTTGGATTTTGACAATCTTGAACTTTTCTAAATCTTTGAACAGCTCAATTTTGTAACAATTCTTTTATAATAATTCTCAGGTTTTTACGGATTTATAGAACTAGATCCTTGTGCCCCACATTTTAAAGCCTACATCTCTGTATGTAAAGCTGAATCAAACTCTCGCAACAACCTCCTCGAAATCGTTGGCGACCCTCGCTCTTGCCCTCCAAAATTCAGGAAACCGCGCGTTCTTTCAATGCAGAACGTTGCCGAAGTAGTGGCAACGTGATGAAGGCAGTATTGTCCATGCGACATCCTGGAACCGCAAGGAGATTTGGTGTTCCCCCCCTACCTCTTTTGCTCGAAATGCGGACACGTCTGATGCGCGGCGATCGACCTCCCGTTTTACTTCGAGTTAGAAAATAATGGCACAAAGCGAAACGGAGCTTTGCGGGGCGTTCGAGCGGCCTAGAAGAGAGCTCCGGACACCTAACCGGAACTTGCGGTCTCGTTCTCCACCGGCAGGATCGGGTGCGACGCGTCTGCTGGATTAACGTCCTGACGGTGGATTAAATCCTTCTTATTCTGTCTCACCATCTCGGCGCGCCTCTCCTACAGCAACAGAAGAAAGAAAAGGATTTACAATATTAGAATGTCGTTCTCTGGTACAATCCTATCAAAGGCAGAGGTCGAAAGATACGCCATGCTCTCTAACAAGCTGAGTGGCTTACAATTAGACAGGATGCATCAAAGTTTTTCGCAAATTTCTAGTCGAATTACAGGATTAAATCCTCGATTTAAACTCGATTGACGCTGACTTTATTACGGACAAGCAAAGTCTAATTGTTGGTTAATCTCCACGTAAATTACGTGACGGATAATATTTTTAACACAAGTTTCCTCCGGCACATCCATACGTAAAACGATCACGTACGAGCTATAAATAATGAACACAGCCACATGCTAAAAGGAAAATAATCGTAAAGCTGCAACATAATCTAGCAAAAGCTCGACGACAGCATTCCTTTTGCAAACGCAACTATCGACGTCTTCGTGATCCTATAAACTATAACAACTATTTGTCGCGACGGTGGAAGGGGAGAGGGCACACGAAACGGGGAAAATAATTGATGCCTAATTTAATGTGACCCAGGAGCGCATTACAATTTGTCGTACTAATTTTCCTTTATCGTACTAAGTTTAATTAGCCGCAATTCTAAAATCTCGCCTGTTATAAAAATATACTATAAATAAAGTGTAAAAATATGTGATAGTTCTATATGAGATTAAATATGTCAATATAAATGCAAAACAAATTAGTTTTTCTATTTTTGTGTTACTATCGTTGAATGTCATATCAAATAATTTGATAAAGAAATATTTTCGAAGACACCAATAATAGATTAAATACGTTCAATCTTTATAATTCAATCTCCGGTTTTAATCTTAATTATTTAAAAATATCACTGATATCCGATAAAATTATTTTTTAATTTCCAAAGCATCTATGACATTACAATTACATGAAAATTTAATTGAATATGCAAAATATTTGCTTTAGTTAATTGCTTTCATTAATATGTAACATTTTGTCTGCTTATGGAATGTGTGTGCTGCTAAATAATAAGTAAATATGACATTACTGGAGAATGTTACTAGATAAAAGGAACAAGAAGTTAGTAAGAAATAAACGTCTCTTTTATAACGAGCATCGTTTTTCATCGGATTATCGTACAACAAATTATCTGCGGGGGTCCAATTAAGTGTGCGTGTGGGGACGAAATTACATGGTGGCGGCGAATCGCCTGCACGCGACGTTGGATCTCTCGCTGCCGATTCATCTCCGCGGTCGACACCCTCTTGTCGAACTCGCACTTTTTCACCAGGAGCTCACGCGCCGCCATCTGACGCACTTTCGCTATCTTCACCGTGTTCTAAACCGCCATCGCACAAACGCCTACGTTCGATCAGTGCTTTCTTACGCAGGAAAACCTCGGGACAACCCGAGGCTACGCGGTTTGCTCGTCTTACTTTTCTCTCGTTTTTTTCAAAAGCACACGAATACAATGCTTCGGTTAAATATTTTAGATTGTTACGCAACTGTGTCGTTTTTTTTTTGCAATCATCCCACCGTTTATTGGAAGACATTGGTCGAGGTTAAATATATTGATATTAAAAAAATTTAATTAATCAAAATTATTTTGCATTTAATTCTATTATATTAATTCCTCCAATTCCTCATCCTTTAAACAGACTTTATTTAACTTTTGGAACTTTTAGGATTTGTTAAACCCTCGAACTATTTTTCAATAATCAAATTTTAAAAACGTCGATAAAAGATTTGAAATATGCAAAATTTCTTGCATTTTTGCGATATAACGCAAATTAATTTCCATTGTTTCGTCCAACCAAAATTCAACGAGATTTCGTAACAATCTCATATAAACCAACGCACTGCCTACAGCTACTACATTAACTCCGAGAGCTACATTCGCCCAGAAACTTACATGATTGCGTAGCTTCTCCTTCTGCTCGCGCTCGATGGTCTCGCGACGTTCGCGTGCCTGCTCCAACTTGCCCTGGATTTGGGACTCCAACTGCTGCACGCGCTCCGACATACCTTGACGTACGCGAGCAACCTGCTCTTCCTGCAAACAGGCCACGAATCAATAACTTATGTCTAGTCTATGCCGGTTCTATTATCTACCTATATGGTTTGCCTGTTAAAATATGCAAAACAAAGCAGCAACCTTGCATAAAAGAAAAAAAAAGTAACGATACTTGCAAACGCGAATTTAGAAACATTTTGTTGCTGCCTCACAACTTCAAACCTTCAAATCACTTCTCATGTACAATGAATTTTGAATACATAAAAAAATTACATTTCTTATTATACGAATTCGGATCTACATCTTATAATCTATATTTATCTAATCCTCGTGTTTATAACAATGTTCATTTGTGACGTTGCATTGAAGAACATTATATTTCAGCCCCAGTACTAACATGTTCCTTGAGACGATCCAGCATTCTCTTGATATTTTCGTCACGCTGAGCCGCGGCAGTTTTCAGTTTCTCCTCGACGGCGCATCGCACTTCCTCAGTCTGCTGCTCGAGACTCAGGCGAGTCTTCTCGACACTCTCCAACTACAACGAAAGGTGAAATTAAATATCGTAACAGTATTAAACAAGGTTTAATAAACGGCAACTAGTCAATTAAAAAGGCAAACATCGGTCGAAACTAATTCTTCCAATCGTTACTCACGTGCTCCTTCAGTTTGTTCTTCAGCTCGGCGATGTGGGCCTCTCGCTTCTCCTCCGTGTTGTTCATTTTCGCGTCCAGGGACTCGCGGGTGGCGGCGATGAAGGCCGCGCTGAGCTCATCCTTCTTGCGGGAGGCTTCCTCGATCTTGCTGAGCTTAGCCGCGAGGGCGGCGAGCTTGTGCGCCTCGATGGACAGTCTTCGCTCCTCGGCGGCCTTTAGCTTGTCCTCGATCGCGGTTTGCTGCGTCGGGCTCTGCTGCGGCGGCGAGGGAGCTCTCTTAGGCACCGTCGGCTGCGCCAGGATCACCTCGTAGCACAGCCCGCCCTTGGACTTCTCCTGGCATCGGATCTCGGTCGCTGCAAAGTTTCGATACGATGTAACGAATGTTCGGCATGTAACAAACTTATGATAATGGTACGTTTTCAGTGCGGCATGGTCTAACGATTAATGCCATTAATAATTCATGTAATTCAATTACATAACTATTATTAATTAGTAGACGTATAATGAAAACATATTGTCATTGTCCTACCATTATAAAATAATTAATATTAATATTACATATAATAATAAAATATATAATTATAGAATAATTATTAATAATATCGCGTATAAATATAATATAATGGTAAAGAATAAAAAGAATAATTTCCATTGCACTTTTAACGGAATAATCATTCCATTTAAATGGAATAATTTCTTTTCGGTAACTTGTTACTTGAGATACCGTCACGTGGCAGAGAAACTATCCCAGTTACGTTGCATTTATGCTACAATTTCTCGCTCAACAATGTAAATGTAATATAATACATATGTGAGAAATTGTAATATAAATGCAACGTAATTGATGCTCGGTGTTTACTCGGGACTTTTTCAATGGAATAAAAATTATTCCACCGAAGTGTGAAGCCAAAAATGGAATGAAAAAAATTATTCCATTTAAATGAAATAATCTCGGCGTACTGGGATCGAGATTTTCCAAGTTTCAACTGTCAAGACTGTACCCGCGGATACCGATTCAATCTTCGAACGAACCGGTATCGGCACCCCTAATCTACCGGGAGCATCGACGTCGCATCGACGTCTCTCGGGCGCAACAGCCCCCCCGAGAGCGTGATTCGCGATTCCACGATTTCCGGCGCCGGCTGGTTGCGGAAGCATGACTCAGTGGCACGAGAGCGGCGCGGCGAGGAGGGATCGATCAGAGGGAACGATCGGCCGTAGGCGCCGCGACGTCTAGCGTCGTCGCACGCACCTCAACCACCTCCGCCACCTCCCTCCTCATCTCGCGGCGTGCACACCTCCGTCGTTGCCGGCCGTATCGCAAATTACCGTACATCACGCCGTGTCGTATAATTTCCCCATCGCAGCAATCTTCGGGAATTCTAGCAATTATTTAATTGCGAAAAGTGAATCTCGCGATCTTTCACATTACGTCCTTCCTCTACCCTGTCCTCTCGCTGCGTGTCCCGAGTGCGAATCGTAAACGAATGACGTTCGAACGAACGTTTACCCGAACCGTCCACGATTATTTTTATTCTGGTGGAAAGTACTCTATTATGTGCGAGATGGGTTTCTGATATCAGATAGCAGGTTTTCAACACCAAAATTCAATCGCAAATCCTTTTTCGCAACGATCGCACGATCTAAGGCCTGGTTTCACCAAACGCCGTTTAACTTTAATCTTACTTTAATTCACGTTTGTCTCTTTCTAAAGGAACAGTTAGAAAGAGACAAAGAATGGGTTAAGCCAAGTTGAAAGTTAAACGACATTGGTGAAACCAGGACTAACAATGAATTCTTCCACTAAACAGACTTCGCTCCAGGGACAATAAATTCATGGTGGAATCGACTGATGATGCCTATTAATTTAACGGCTATCCCATATTAGAAACCTGTCTCATAATACGGGACTTTCCTCTATATTTTATATTATCTCAAGATCAAACGGAGCAGCGACTTCGCGTTCCCAATATCTATTTCTCTCCCGCCTCGACCTGGCGGCGAGCAATATCAGAACTGCTATGTCACCGCTATGAAAAGTCGTCGATATACCGCCGTACATCTCTCCGCGCGGCACAATACGAGTTTGCAAATGCTCCCCGCATTCGATTTATAATTCAGCGGCGACACATTGGCGCGGCCGTTCTCGTGCCATGCTGGGGGCATTGCACCGATCTTTAGCGCGACGCGAAGGTGCTCCCTTTTAACTCTCAGACGCAGGAATTCTCATATTGCGCGAGTAACACGGCGCAGGTGCATTACGCGGCAATTATGGATAAAATCGTTCGGCGCGACGCAGAGGACTCGGCTATATAAAAAAAAAGGAAGATTAAATGTCGTCTCCCGGTGCATCAATTTTTCGGCGACTGTTAATCAAATTTACCAATGTAGGAAAATTAATAAACGACACAACTGGCAACTTCTAATGAGAGAAATTTATTTCTCTAATTAGAGGGGACCTCCTACGCTCTAGGCGGGCGTTTCACCAACCACTGAGGCATGTGGTAATATTTGTCGCAGTAAACAGTCTAATGATGATATCTTCCAGTCCACTTTTCAACTTTTAATTGCGCGCCGATTCGGGTTGTCGGCAGTGCGCAGAACCGTCGATACGCGATTAGAATTTGCCAGTTGCAGTGACGTTCATTAATTTTCCTTGGTTAATTATTTACTGGCGACAATAAGTCTTTATTCAAATTAATTTAATCGCGTAAAAAAAATCAAAATGTCACGAAATACATTCTTCTCCAAACGTCCCGAAGAAATCGTCTTTAGGAGCGGATCTTTCCATGAATTTGGCGGCCAATTTTCCACAATGGAAATGGATTCGGTAAACATTTCTTTTATATCTCGATGATAAAAATCGGGACGAAATTTATATCGATAATCTATCTTGGAATTACGATCCTCCGGAACGTTTTTCTCAGCGAGAGAGCCCTGGGATCCTAAGGCAGTCGACGCGATTCGATCGGATTCGAGCGCGTGGGCGCGTCTCAAATACGTTTCTCGATGTCGCCCAGAGCTCGCTTAATGATGTCCGGATACTCACTGATGAACTTCACCTTTTTCGGCTGCTTGGTCCGCGGCTTGCCCTTGCCGCTCGGCTTCTTAAACGGCGCGTTACTCCGCCTCTGTCCCGCTTCGGAAATTCAGACACGGTCAAAGCACTCGAAGCGTTTTCGAGAAAAAGAGAGATTAACGAGGGAGCAGGAAGGAACGGTCGGGATTTTGAGCTTTGACCCACCGGGAACACCGCCGGCGCTCGTTCGACGCAATTGTCATAATCGTATTGTCAGCACGAAACACCGTATTAAAAAAAAAGGAATTTCGACCGATTTTCCGGAATACTAAAAAAAACCATAAACGCGACATCGACTTTACTCGTTCCTCCGCCTTTCTTCGTAAATATTGATCGCGTGAAATTTCTGGTGGTCTTACGCGATAGTCGTAAACACGGAAGAGAAACTTCATACGATCGTATCTCGCGAGACACAAAGGCAACTCGAGTTTCAATCGACGCGCGGGCATTTCCGAAACGGAGAAGCTGCAAAGGGAACGAAATTAGCATTCGCGCGTGCCATTGTCTGGCCGAGGGATCGATCGGTGTCCCAATGGGTTAATTATCGGGAAATCGATGCGACCGTTTCGCCGTGGCCATGTTGGACCGCACCCCGATCGTTTCGGCGAGCCGAGCACGTGCATATCGGCGTGGCGAAGGTCCTCCGACACTGGAGAACCCCGTCGAAGTGTGGGGCTTCGAATTTACTTTGAATTTACAGAAATGAATACGATGCCTTCGTTGGAATCTACGTTCACTTTCGTCGGGACGAAACAACGATTGTACAGTAATGGACAGAATGGTTGCGACACTTGTTTTATGTTACGCACCAAAATCTTCTTCTCCGAGGAATATTTCACTCGACGGCCATTCCGAAACCGTTTTGACCGTTTTCCATCTATTTCTCGAGTACAATTTTCGTCAGAGAAAATGTTTTGCAACCTAAACTGAATCCAAATGCGCGTTTTTAACTCGCTAAAAAAAAATATTGCAACCATTCTGTGCATCGCTTTACATGTCAATTTGCTTTCATCGTCCGCTCTGATCTCGAATTTCTATATTTAACAGGATGTCTACATGTACTAAAATAACACTGGTTGTTCTGGTGTTAAACTTCGTTAAATAAAAGTTCGGTTAACAAACAGTTGCACGCGTCACCGCGTTAAAAATAATTCAACTCACAATTGTCCTTTAGAAACGAAAAAGAATTTTGTACCGTAACTTTATTTTTTCACGTTAGTGTTAATATTATTATTAATAAATATTAACCCTGGCTGAGGTGATATTTTTCGCAATAAATTTAGAATAAAATATTTAGACACTAACATCCTATCACCCTCTTACTCCTTTATTCCTTCGGGCGGTAGGTGCTGCCTTAAATACGTTATTTAAAAAAATGTAAAAATGATACATTAATTTATGTAAATTATAAAAATTATCTTTCTTTTAGTATCTTACAGGACAAGAATGGCTTGTATCAATAGTCAACGTACTAAAGCGAGCGTGATATCAAGTTTAAAAAAAAATTGCGAACTGAAAAATTCAACGAGCAACGCTTTTAGAAAATACTTTACCTCGTTTCAAATATTTACTCGATTAATTGTCAATGTATTAAAGCGAGCGTGATATCAAGTTTAAAATAAAACTGCGAACTGAAAACTTGAACGAAGAGTAACGCTCTCAGAAAATACTTCGTCTCGTTGCAAACGTTTACTCGACAATTCGTTTCAAGCATACAACACACTTATTTCCCTAGCCCGTTTTCTCGTGCCAATTGAGGCATTTTTAGAGGTAATTTTATTCGCGGTTACGAATTCTGAGAGGCCGGATCGGCGAAGAACGATCTCTACGAACCGGCGAAGTTTCGCGACACCCCGTAGAGAAAAATGGTGGACCGTGAGTATCGATTCGCGGACGGTCTGAGAAATTGATCGAACTGCAGGTGGCCCAGGATAATGTCACGATACCGCCGTGGATGTCGACCGCCGTGCACTGCGGTAATAAAGGACAGTGCTCTTCGCCCGCGGAGGTCACGAAAAAGCTCCCTATAGTCTCCTCGTCGAAAATATTAGCGTGCGATGTATTCTTGAATTTCACCACGCGAACTGCGTATCGATCGAGAATAATTACGCTCGCGGCCGAAAGTGAGCGACAAAATAAACTACGTGGAATAATCGTTTCGCCGCAATGATTGGCGAGTGTTGGAATAATTTGGGAAACCTCGAGCGAAGAATTAAAAATTAATAATGCATACGAGGCTGAAGATTAACAATACTATATGTACACTGAAGAAGA